TTGCTGATCATGAAGACGAACAAAGACCCCCCCCCCGTAGTGTAAACAACATTGATATTTCTCGACAGCGCAACGGCAAAGGCCAGCATATCTTGATGGTAGCATGTGTGGTCATGGCACCTATCCACCGTAGTCCTGCCGTAATGACGACGATGACGATGGCGTTGCCATTACTGCCAACGCTGCTACCGTCCGCCGTATGTGCCTATCGCTCGACAGGTACGGCGGGATAGTGGAGGCGTTTCTTCTGCTGGAGGACAGAGGCGCGCTCCGCCCCCCCCCTGGCCCCCCTACCTCCACGGAGCCCCTTATTCCCGCCGCGCCCACAGCCTCGCGAGCTCCGCCTGCGGAGGAGGGGGAGGTGGGTCCTTCGGCGGGAGAGCATGGCAACGGTGATGGTCGTGACGGCGACGATGATGCCGGTGTCGTCGGTGTTGCTGTCGGGGCCACTCCGGCGGGGGAGGGGGAGGAGCCGCCGGAGCGACGAAGGCGGCAGTGGATTTCTCAGGTGTTGTGATCGTTCGGTGCTGGGATTTGTCTTTTGGGGTGCGCGGCTTTTGACCTTGGAGGTGGTGGTGTCGCCCTTCAGGCATCGTCCGCCCCATGTTGTTCTTTGTGCTGGTGTCGACGGTGTGGTGTTGTTGTCATGGATGGCGTTGTTCATGTTGATGGTATGGGTGTGGCTGTTGTTGATGGCGTTCGTTGTTGGTCTCATGTAGATGGTGGGGGTTGTAGGAAGGTGCGTCGCTCAAGGTATCATTTTTACCTTCCAAGCGGCTTCTTGGTGGTCGTGTCACATGTTGTTCTTGTTTTTGTTGATACTGACGGCGTCTTTGTCGTTGATACTGGTGGCGCTGTTGGCTTTCGTCGTGTATTTTCGCCCAAGTGAAAGGCCCCGCTGTTTTAGGGTTGTTGTTGTTGTTGATGATTACCGATTTTTTCGGCGGCTGTTTCGGTTTCCTTTCTTGAGTGGTGCAGCCCTCAAGGCGGATTTTCAGCCAATCTCCTGCAACGCCCCCCTGAGTCCACGCACACTCGCACCCCCATCCTACCCTGACCCCCCGCCCGTCGCTTTTTTTGTTTTCCCTCCCCCCCGGACAGTGCAAATCTGTGCAAAACAATACTTTGCCGATTGTGTGAGAGGTCGCAGTCAACCATGAGTGGTCATGGACCCAAAGTCCCGAGAGGTAGTTCCGCCCTACATTATGGGAAATACTATCCACCGCGCCTCTGACTGTAGGGGCGATCCCAAATTTGCACGTTGGTGGCTCATTCAACACCTTCCCCCCCCGTTGTGGTTTCTTTCTGTACGGCCGCTGCTGGTGTATTTTCTTTTTTACACCGTGGTTCACACGTACGTGTCCCATCAACGTATCGGGATGTCGCTCGATTCTTCGTTCCATCGAAAAACACCAAATCCAACCGCCACAACACGTCGGACGAAAAAAAAGGGCCTGGCGAACTGCGCGCTCCCGCTGCCTCGGCACCTGCTGCTCGCCTCCAACCGGAGCGGCAGCGACGACGGCGGCGGCGGCGGCAACGTTGCCGTTGTTGCCCGCGCTGGTGGCGGTGTTGCTGTCGACGGGGTGGCGCCGCCGCGGCATAAGCTGTGGGACGGCGGCGGCGGCGGCGGTAACAGCAGTAACAGCGCTACCGTCGCCGAGGGCAGGTTTCCTACGGAGGGTGGAGGGATGTCTTCTGTGTCTGCTTCTGGTGGGGGTGGTGAAGCCGATACTGCGGGGGTGGTGCTGGATGCTAGGACGGGGATGGAGATGCTCTCCGATCATGTGCGCGACTCGGGGGGGAGGGGGGGGGGGGGGG